CCAAGGCTGGCACGTTGCTCCTGGTGGTTCTGGCCACACTCCCAGCCAGTTCTTCACCATAAACTGGTAGGACTGGTGACATCTCTGGGAATTATCCAGGGACTGCTSCTCCCTGAGGCCCTGTGGCCAGAAGGTCAGTCCTGCTTTCAGGTGAATTGGGGTGTCAGCTGCTCCTGCTGCTGAGCAAGCCCCAGTCTAATCCATAATTATTTGCTGTTACTTAATTTACTGAATTTCCTGTTACTGTATTTTTCCCTGGAGAACTCAAACCTAGCTTTTCATCTGTGGACACTGTGCTATCCTATATGACTGCTTCACAGAGGAAGACTTCAAGTGTAGCTTGTTGGRAGATGTGTAGGAAGAGGGAAGCATTAGCTGAAAGAATTTTGTAGCAGTGTGAGTGCTGCTTTATGTGCCCCTTGAAACTTGAGGCCCACAGCTCACTTTTCTGCATGTACCTGTTGGCAATGCTTTCTCATTTTTGTTGCAAAAATGAGTCTTCAGAATTTGCTTCTCAGGCTATGATTGCCCTTCTTTTTGGAGAAGGAGAGAGAAGKAAGGGAGGATGCCTTGGCTTCATTACATTTTGAATCAGCAATCAAGAGTCAGAGTTCCCATTGATTAATTCAGGTTGTAGCTTGTGCTCTTATCTTGCCCATCAGATTTGATGCCAGAACTCAACATTGTGATTATAAAATCCAGTCACAGCCAAATAAGGAGGCAAACTGAAAGCTGTGGGTACCTTCGTTTAGTAATTGCAACTACTTAAGTGGGACAAAAAATAACGTTCAAAAAAGGGACAGATGACTCTGTTGTCTGACCTATGAGCTGTTTGTGGTTTTTCTGTGTTTGCAGAGAGTTTGCACAGCAGTTTTATTTATATCTAGGCTGCCAGCTCAAGGGAGAAAAGCTTCAGCAGAAGCTGACAGAGACTTGGGAACCGATAATGGGCCTCTTACTGCATCAATTGCTTAGCAGCAAATTCTCCTTTGAAATGCTCCCCTCTCAGTGTTTTCCAGGCTCTAATTCTTCCCTCCTGCAAACGGGTGGTTTGTCATTGTGTGTCTGGGCTGTGATGGTGTAGGACAGCAGCCCCTGTGTTCYTTAATCAGCCCTACTCTTCTTTATGGTTAAATTCATTAATTTTATTCCCAATTGAGGAAGATGATCA